AAGAAGGTCTGGCCGTCTTGCTCAGTCAATAGATTGAGCTCGGTAATGGCCTTGCCCTTCTTGTACTCCTTGGCCACGGAAACATATTGATATCGTTCCTGTTTTCCGATGCCAGCAGAAGTGAAGTAGGGGTTAATGACGATCGACTTGAAGCTGGTGGGAACGATTAAGGCCCACAGGCGCTCGTCGCCAGGGCAGCTAAACGCCGCAAATCCGGTCTGCAGAGCTGTGTCAAGCATGCCGGGGTGCACAATCAGCTGGTCCTCCCAGTCCATGCCAGATTGATCCTCGAGGATACCAGTGGCGTAGTCAGCCTTGCGCTGAATGCTGCTGGTACCGTGGAATGGCCAAGAGTAGTTGTAGCCGAGCCGACTGAGTGATGAATAGAAACGGTCAATGGCAACTTCGCTCAAGTTGAGTTTGTCGGTCTCGATGCTGGGAAGCGAGTGCGGCGCGGGAGCTCCAAGCGTAACTTTGACGCTACCGGTTGCATTAGTGGCCAGAGTTGCCCTGTGATCCGTTGGTGCTGCCGAACTGCATGACCATGTGGCTTCGATTTCATTATTGGTCTGAATGATGATTCTCACGTCGAAGACGGCCTCCACGCTTGAGTCATCATCATTGAACGCCATAGCCCTGGTGATGCGGAGATCCTCAATCGTCAAGAGACTCATGGGAGATTCCCCAGCCAGAATGGACATGGCCTCGACTGCCATGGCAACGTAGCCAGTCGCAGGGAAGACAAGCTGTCCCTGGATCTGATGCCCATGAAGCCAGCCAATCTCTTTTGGATGCAAAACATTGCGCCATTGGATGGATCGAGAGGTCTCGCGGTCAATGCACCTCTTGCCCAACAAAGGATGAGGTGGAGCCTTGAGTGAGTTGTATAGTCCAGACTTGCGGGAAAGGGTCATGAAGCGCCTAGAATGATCGAAACGGTACTTGGGAAGGTCGTGCAGGAACTTCCTAGGCACAGATGACCCAGACGCTGCTTGGGAAAACCTATCAAAGTTGACGGATCCGGCGCCGAGATGAGTCCAGATGAAGCCAAGAGCATTTGAGAACTCTCTGACATCATCTTTGCCTCGCGCAATCACACCAGAGTAAGGGGGGTGGGCATCCTCGTCAAGCGAATCGAGGCAAGGCGTCTTGAGCACAGGGTGGGGGCCGACTTCTAGGATGAGATCAAATGACCCACTCTTAGGGGCTGCCTGTGCAACGGCAGAGGAGAAGAGAACCGGATTGGTCATGTTGTCGACCCAGTACTGGCAAGTGAGCTGGTCCAGGCCCATGATTGTGCCTTTGTGAACGCTTGAGTGCCACTTCGCCCCGGTAGGCGTCGAATACTCAATCCCACATTTTTCCATTGCCGCAATGTATGCTTCGGCACAGGGCAAAACGTGGGACGAATGGTAGGCAGTGTCGACCTTTAGTTGGCGTGCGAATTTGCCTTCGTCCTTGAAAATCTCCACGGCTTCGATGATGGCGTCCTCATCGCCGGACAAGGTGATGCTGGTGGGGGAATTCTCAGCGGCGATTTGAATCCGGCCTTGGAAGTCTTCAAGGTTGCAGAACTCTGTCGCGTCTTCGACAGTTGTACCAACAGCCATCACTAGGACATTGTCAGCGTGTGTACACCTCTTTCTAATATGTGGTACTTACTCGCACCCTTGCCACCGCGAGGAGATTTGGCAAGCTTGGCGTAGAGCCCCCTATAGTAGGCAATTCTGATGGCATCGCGGGCTGTCAAGAGACCTGCAGCGTAGGCGGCTCCGATTTCACCTGGGACAAAATCAGCTACCAGAATAACTACACATCACAGCAGTATACTAACCAGACGAGTGTCCAACCACTGTTTCGAACTTTATGCCGGCAAATCGAAGCAGATCGACGAGCACAATTTGGACTGCAGTGCAAAGCGGCTGAGAGATTGCTGCCTCGGCCATCCTCGATGACTTTGCATCAGCCAAAATCATCTCTGCGAGCGTCCATGATGGGCACTCGCCAGCGAGCGACTCAGCCAACGCTTCGTCAAGCTCAGAGAGCCGCTTGGCCACGTATGGAGACGTCTCGAGCAGCTTCGCTCCCATTCGCGGCCATTGCGCACCCTGGCCAGTGAAGACACCCAGGATCTTGGGCGATGACTTGTTCAGCTGACGGGTGGCCAAGGTACTGTCGAGCTCGCCGCCGACAATGGCATCAATCTGAGAGATTGCCTCTTCCACTCCAGTGGCTGTAAGGGTCACTCGATGCCCCAAGGTCGAGCGACGCGTTTGCAAGGTGTACGCCACATCGTGCAGGGAAATGTCTGGGGTGGACCTGAAGTACTCCGCATAGTCAGCCAACATCGATCGTAGTGAAGTCTCGGACGAAGCGGAGAATGTCAGTGGCGTGAGTAATGGACCCTCGAATTGGGGCTGCGGCTGAGGCTCGTATGCTTCGAGAATTGCGTGCGCATTTGTACCGCCAAATCCTGAAGACGACTGTTAGCAAACACGACCTGCTATAACAAGCCGGATGCTCACCAAAGCTATTCACGCTAGCCCGGAAAGGCTGGCCGGGACGAGGCTCAGGCCATGCAAGGGCCCGGGTGGGAACCTCCAAGTGATCATAGAACGGCTTGAGGCGGGGATTCAGCGTGTTGAAGTGCATGTTTGGCGGGATGACATTGTGCTGGAGCGCTAACGAAGTACTGATCAAGCTAGCGAGGCCAGCCGTTCCTTCGGTATGTCCAATGACAGTCTTGATGGAGCCGACGTAGAGCGTCTCATCGCCATCATTTGTAGAGTAGAATGCTTTTGAGATGGCTTCGGCCTCTTGTGGATCACCTGCGGCGGTACCTATAGAGTCTCAGGGTCAGCCCGACAAGTGCTAAAGCGTAGAGTTCTGAGATCCTGCAGAAGGCTCTCGTACATGGTCTACCGAACTCGGAGAGAAGGGCATATAGAACTGGAACTTAAATACCTGTGCCGTGCGCATGGAAGAACTGGGGGCGGTCTTCGGGCTTATTGACATCCAGTCCAGCTCTAGCATAAGTGTCTCGGATAAGGGCAGCCTGTGCCGTTGCGCTGGGCATGGTGATGCCGTTCGTACGACCATCCTGATTCACACCAGTACCTCGGATGAGGCACTCAATGTGGTCATTGTCCCGGATGGCAGCGCTAAGAGGCTTCAAAACGACAGCAGCAATGCCCTCACCACGAGCATACCCATCGACATCCTTGTCCCACATACGGGACCTGCCAGAGGGTGAGAGCATAGACAGCTTGCTCTCTGCAATGTACATCCCTGTGAGGCGGCGTCAGTCAAGATGCTCCTACAAAGGGAGAAAATACAAACCTGGAGTGAGGATCAAATTAGCTCCAGCAGCAATAGCGACCTGCGATTCGCCACTGCGGAGAGTCTGAATTGCCTGGTGAACAGCAACTAGACTGGAAGAGCAAGCAGTGTCAATCGTCATGGACGGTCCGTGCCAGTCGAAAAAGTATGAGATGCGGTTTGACATGATACTTCGGGCCATGCCAGTGGCTCCATACTGCGGCAAGACGTCGGGGTCTTGAGCGAGAATACCAGCCCAATCGTCACACATCAACCCAACGTAAACAGCAGTGGAAGATCCACGTAGCTCCCCGATGGTTTGTCCAGCAGCGCAAAGTGAATCGTACACTGTTTCCATCAACAACCTCTGCTGAGGATCAACGGCTTCGGCCTCACTCTGTGGGATGTTGAAGAAACCATTGTCGAACAAAGCAGGGTCTTCGTCGAGGAAGTATGACTTGATAGCGTTAGTCGTGCCGTGGTGTTTGGAGTCTGGGTGGTAGAAGGCTTCCGCATCGAAGCGCTCCTCTGGCACCTGGCGCAGCAAATCTCGAGGAGACTTGATGAGCTGCCATAGTTTGGACGGCGTATCAGAATCGCCAGGAAATCGACACGCGCTTCCAACGATGGCAATAGGCTCCAAATTAGACATTCTGGCGAAGAATTGCTGTATCTTTATAAAGACTCGTATGTGGTATGAGCAAGGCGACGACAAGTTGATGTGCCTCGATTGTGTTGAATGATGATTGGGATTGACTGAACTCGTTTGCCTCGGTGTGACGGGACCACTTTTATCATCTCAAGCTTCTTAGTCGGTTCTCGAACCGTGAGACCGTTCCGAATAATTGCGTCTGCTCAGCTGCGCATTGGTGCTGCTTAGACCCTTGAAGCTGATATAGCGCAAATCCTCGGTCGTTGCAGGACACTTTTGCAGCTGTTGCCGGTGCCTAAACTGATGACAGCGTTACCACCATTCATTCGTCTAGGGGACTGGTTCGTGTTGGTGGTCCAAGTTTCGAAGCTACGCGAGGAATAGTAATGTGGTATCAGGCGTAAATATTGGCCATGGACCGTGCGCAACTACCTAAGTAGGGATCTTACAAGGCAGTTTTTGACAACAACGACACCATAGAACTTCTTACAAAGGTGCTATTCATATACCTTTTTAGATATTCTTTTCTCGACAACATGATACCAAATTTGCATTGTTGTTGTTGACGAGTTGTAATTTTGGTGTGTTCGCAACCCTGCTTACCTAGGCATGCAAAGACCATGTACAAACGTTCGCCTGATACCACAGTACACGGGCGTAGCCAAGCCTCCTTCCTATTCTGTGCTTTTGAGGCTGACGAGATCAACTGGTAAGACCCGACACGACGGTAGATTGAGTCCCTGTACCGGGCAGTGGGCTGGGGCCAAGACTGGAGAAGTTCGGAGATGCGTGCGGACCCTTTTCGGAGCAGTGCGCGGTATCACTGTAGGTCTTTGGGGATGCACATCTGATGTCGGAGTTTTTCGGAGGGCTCTTCGGCTCCAATTCGAGCGAGCGCGGCCACTCCTCACACGATTCGGTTGTAGGTGTTTCCAAGTTTAGTCAACAAGAATCTACATTTCTACACATTAGTACCGTTGAACTGTACTGCAGAGATCGCAATCCCCCACCAGAGCAGGTACCCGCAACCATGACCGAGCAATTCGAATCACGCCTCAACGTCGAGACTGAGCCCATCGTTTTGGGGCCAGTCTCTGTCTTGCCATTCATCCCTGGATCCGGAAACGTCTTTCCCAAGTACGTGGACGCCATTACACAAACAGGGTGGGAGCTCTGGTTCTTTGATGGTATCTCTGCTGACAAAGCTGCCATTGTGGTGGGCTTCGGACGGAACATGGAGGGTCCAAGGCAGGCCCCATTCCGCTGCCAAGTACTCTGCATCTGGCCTGATGAGAGCACCTGGCACCGCGACATGTACTTTTCCGACTCTATTGTCACCACTGTGGGAGACGCCGGAGATGTTGTGGGCGTCTGGAAGGATCCGATCAAGAATATGAGCGCGTCATTCCAGGTCCCTGTCGATTCTTCGTGGGCCAAGTTGACGTTTGCCATCCCTGGCGTCCTCGAGGGCAATGTGAGCCTGACTTCTATGCCTGGCGATACTGGCCTCAATACGCGACCGGAGCTAGGATTGTCAGTGAACTACATGCGACCGATTGGACGAGCTTATGTTACGGCCGATCTGGAGTTCTATCCTCCCGAAAGCAATACTCCAAAGTCCTTGGTCTGGCCGATGGATGGTGGCGCAACGGGTGGCATGGATCGTGTTTGGTCGCCACTGTCTTGGGGTCAAGTCATGACAGAGTCGTACTATCTACGTGCTCACGTTGGACCGTATGCGATGCAGATTATGCGCATCTTTTCCGACATGAAAAGTGGTAATCAGCCACATACGGTGGCCAGACTGTACCGTGACGGAAAGCTCATATGTGCTACCCAAGATGTTGTAGACGAGACAGATGGCGAGGTGCCCCGAGACTCACTCGTGTTGAGCAAAGTTCTTGGAGCTCCAAACGATGCAGGATTGACGGGCGCCTTTCGCGACAAGAACAGTGGTTACACTGTTCATTTCATCCAGGGCGGCCCTATGGGGCAGCGATGGACATTTGATGTGCGTCACGAGAGGACAATTTGGAACCTGCCCACTAGTGCGCCAGGTCCGAATGCGACTGGCAATACTGGATTCATAGAGTCTCTCGAAGGAGGTTCTCAAGGGGAGTCCTTCAACGGTGTCGGAACTGGGGGACAGTGTCAGCTGAGCTGAGTTGATTAGCATTGTAATATATCTTCAGATAGTTGAGCTCCGAACGACACGCATCGATCAGTCTAAGTTTGTGATTTTCTATGACGAGATATTGCAATAAAGCAACTGTGCTGCAACGTAGGCCCACGTCTGAGTAGTCCTTCGAATAAGCACCTGACGTCGGTGTCAATGTCCGCTTGGTGTACGCGAGCGTCGACCATGCTCGTCGCGAGTAGGTAGCACTGCTGTGCTGGTAAGACTGTAGTGACCGAAGTGATAGTGCTCTGAAACACTTATCGGAGGCTAAGATGAAGTTCGCCAAGCCGGGCCAGGAGCACATTGGCCCAGCCCCAGTTTCTCAAAATAGTCTAGCCAGGCCCAACACGTGCGCCACGTGCGTGCGGGATCCGGGGGCGGAGAACGCGGTGCAAGATGGGACGAAATCTGATAACCTTGACTTATTATTCACATGGCTTACAATCATACAATTATCTCGATTGCACGGAATGGTGATGTTGGGATACTACTTATCGGTGTGCTAAGATGAGTGAATAGGGCCGTCCGATGACACGACCCACACCCTATGGCAAGGCAGCCGTCCTTAACACGAACTTCCCCAGTCAACGGAACTCTCGCTGTTGAGCACATTACTATCCGCAAACCGCCCAAAACTTTCTCGAACCCTGCCAGGCCCACCCATCATGAGATATCCGTCCTCCTCAGGGTCCAACGGCCACCCGTCGCGCCACGCGGCCGCACGTTGCGACTCGACGCCGAACCCGAGTCCACACTCAGATCACCCCAACGCGCGTTCCAGGCGCCCGACCCCCGGTCCGTAACTCCATCTGATCGTGCTGCGCTGCGCTCTCGCCATCTACCCGAATCCCAGGTACAGCTCCGAGGACTGCGTGTTCGCGCACGTGTGCTACGTGCGTTGCGGAAATGGTCGGACTTTTTCGGAGGGTACTCGAGACGAGAGGACGTGCCAAGGATAGCGACTGCGGTCTTCGTGAAGAGTGTATGCGGACAATGCGAGCAACAAGATATCTAGGCATATCCAGATGTGACGCGCCCGGCAGGGAGTTCGTTTCTTAGCTGCATAGCGCCTCACGACTATTTCCCACCCCCATTCTCCTCAGCATGGCGCCAAAATACCAGACAGCACTCATTGGGACCTCGGACGGCGCAATCCGCCTCTCCCACGATGCTCACGTACCAGAAGTTGTAGGCGACCACGTCCTCATCAAGACAAAAGCCGTATCCGTGAACCCGGTCGACACGAAAATGACCGGCAGCTACGTGACCGCCGATGCCATCGCAGGCTTCGATTTCGCAGGTACCGTCGAAGACATTGGACCAGAGGCCACGAAATGCGGGATCATGCTCGGAGATCGCGTCTGCACAGTCGTCCTGGGCATGAATCCGAACGAGCCTACCATCGGCGCGTTCGCAGAGTGGACGACGGCGGCAGAATGGACGCTGCTCAAGATCCCCAACAGCCTGAGCTTCGAAGAAGGCGCATCACTAGGCATAAGTTTCATGACGACGGGTCTCGCCATCTTCAAGAGCCTCGGCGTCCCCGGCACGCCGCTGAAACCCAGCCCGCAACGGCTGCCCGTCCTCGTCTTCGGCGGCTCCTCCTCAACAGGCACAGCCGCAATCCAGCTGCTTAAGCTTGCGGGCTTCGACCCCGTGGCCACGTGCTCGCCGCACAACTTCGACCTCGTGCGGACGTACGGCGCCACCGCCGTCTTTGACTACAAGGACCAGGGCGTCGTGCCTGCCATCAAAGCGTACACCAAAAACGGTCTCCGCTTCGCGCTCGACTGCATTTCCACGACCGCTAGCATGCAGTTCTGCTACCAGGTCATCGGGCGCGCAGGCGGGAACTACACGGCGCTGGAGCCGTATGCCGAGGCCGTGGCGCAGAAGCGCAAGGTCGTGCGCCCGGACTGGGTCATGGGCCCGCAGATGATGGGCAAGGAGATTGGCTGGCCGAAACCTCACTGGAGGCCTGCGGATGCGGAGATCGGGCGTTTCGGCGCGGAGTGGACGGTCACGCTGCAGAAGCTGCTGGATAAGGGGCTCATAAGGCCGCATCCGATATTGGTCAGGCAGGGCGGGCTACCGGAGGTGCTGGGGGGGATCGAGGATGTTCGTGAGAAGCGGATTTCGGGGCAGAAGCTTGTGTTTACTGTGTGAGATGGGGAGGTTCACCTCTGGAGAGTTGTGCTCAGAGGGTTATGCGCGGCTTTGGTTTATGTATGTATTGTACAGAGACATGTGGGAAGGATTGAATGCCACATCCCGTCCTAACAAAAGCTTGGGATTTGTGGATACGCACGACAACTGTCTCAAAACCCTGTCACAGCCTATTCGTAACCTTAGTTCGTTCAACTATTGACTGGCTACTCCAAGCACAGCGAGTATCCGCCTGCCCTCTCTTCATCCAAGATTAACGACCCTAGGTCTTCCCATTGTTCTTACAACCGACCATCTCAAGCCAATGTCAACATCCTGCCTCAACTGCTAGAACCAAGACCGAACGATATAATCTCACTCGAACCGTCTCAAAAGCGAAAGACTTCATAAAGAGATCGTCAATTGATCGCGATCATGACACATTTGATAAGGAGCGTATACACGTCCCACGTAACCATGATCCTCATCGTCACTTCCATCCCAAACAAAGAGAAAGAAAGCCAGCCTCGACCCAATACAAAGAGATCGGCATCAGAGCGCCCATGTCCGGTAAGGACGCTACCCAGGCGTTGGGCCGCCCGTACGCGAGAAAGGTCATGCCCTAAGCATAAACTGGAAATATAAACGCTCATTTTCCGCGATTCCGACGCAGGTTGATAGCGATGACATGCTTCCATTTCGTGCGTCATTTTACAACAAGGCACTACATCTTGCGGACATGTGTCAGTAAGCAAGTGCAAGAATTGCCCTCCGCGTCCTGCATACCGATATATGGTGCCAAGTACGAAATGTCCGGCCCCAAATGCCAGGTAGAGCGGGCACGATCAAGTCTTAGACCCATAAGCAATCACTTTACCCGCATCCCTGCTTGCGCGGTCATCTTCTCAGGCGCCCGAAAGTAGCGTCACCATAGTCCGTTGAACGGCGACGATCACTGCTTGACTCGGATGGCGTGCTTACGCAACGGCAAGCATTGGCAAAATTGCCCAGATAGGGAATCTGGGCACATCTTGATTAGACCTAGGTCATCTGATCAGAGCCATTCGATGACCGACAAGCGATCAGGTGCTCTTGAGACTTATCTGATCTTGCGTTAGCGGTTGACAGGATTCGTAGGAATAAGGACCATGATCACGGAACGTGCGGTAAGGAGCAGAACTTTTGAGCCTGGTCGTCGATTCCGTTCCGTTGGGGAATTTTGAGACCCGCCACGACCATTCGTTACATTATCTTGTGGCTGAATCTGATACTAGGGCGCAATGCAGATGTGCGTAGAGATCTGATAAGGGACCCAGCCAAACGAGCAACAAGTCGTACTCTAGCCCTTGTTCTCATCAGCGTTATCAGATTCTCAAGGTTATTCCGACTCACTGCAGTGCAATACGCGGCCACGACAAGAACAGAAGTGGGACGAATAACATGGAGGAGAGATGAAGGATGGTATGAACCGACCATCAAGTGAATGGATAGATTGAAGATTGAAAATACTACAAATTTGAGCTGGTTATGCTACCTGCGTATGTGGTTCGGACAAGCTTTGCTAATGCCAATGCTACAGAAGACCGCCTAAGACGCTTTAAATGTATCCCAACGTGCAATCATAGGAGCCCTCCTCGCCAAAGCGATCAAAGGCTCATTTTCTCCCGCAAGAGCTCTTTGACAGACGATGCCTGCTTGCTCAGTCCGCTATTGCCGTCCAGAAAACTCTCAGTCGTCGACATGCCTTCTTTCCTCAACTGAGCCATGACCATCTCGCGCGCAACTGCACCCCCAACCCCCAATTGTCCCTCAACGTCCTTGAGCGATCCTTGCAGCATACAAAGAGCCATGTGCACGCGCCCCAGCTCGTGAGCCGCATTCGCACTCGGGAGCTCGCTCAGCTGGAGTCCTGGGCTCACGGAGCCCCGCCCCAAAGAGTGGCCCTGGCTGGGCACTCGGCTGAGGTGGGACTGGAAGTGGCCAAAGGCGATGCTGTAGATGCGCACCAGGGACATGTGGCCGCTCAAGACCAATACCGTTGCCAAATCGTCCACCAGTATGCTTTCCGAGCTCGAGGACGTGGTGCTCATGTTTCCGTTGAACGGCTCGTTGAGACCCCCGAGAATGGGCTGTGCGGCGGCGATGAGCTCTTGGGTGAGGTGGAGAATGGTGCCGATGGGGTAGTCGTTGAGACCGCATATGCTGCCGAATCGCCACGGTCTTTCCTTCAGTGTGCTCATCTGGTATTGCATCTGCGAAAGCAGGAGAAGCAGCCGTTGCACCATGCCGTTACTTTCACCACAAGCCCCTGTCAGAGCCTTTGCCGCTTGTGTGTATGCTTGCTTGGGCGGCGAGCTTCGAGAAGAGTATAGCTGACTCCTGTCGAAAAGAAATGCGTTATCCAGATCTTTCATGTGCTGGCCCTGGTCGTAGCTGCTCATGTCGTTCAGCAAGTCCATGGTTTTGTCCGATGGCTCTTGCAGCTGGAAGGTGTTCCAGTCCAGCACATCGTACGTTGCCGACTCGACGATTGGCTCGATCTCAGGGCTGGGCATGGTCAAGCAAGCCAGATCGGTCATGGTGACGGGAGTGATGGGGCTCGCCAGCATGGAATTGCTGTTCGTGGTGGGGGTTGTGGCAGTGGTGACAGTGGAGTTCACCCTCTTGTTCGGCTTGTCTGAGTCTCCGCGACTTGCCCTCCTGCGTCGACTGAAGGCGCACTCGACCTTGGCCCGAGAGCAGCGTTGACATGGTCCCTGGCCATTGGATCCATCTGGCAGAGCGCACTTGAGCTTCTGAGAACGACAGCGCTCACACGAGGATCTTATGGATTGGAACATGTTGCGTGTGCCTCAGTCAATTGGCATTTAAGGTTAGAAATTGCTCTGAATGACGTCGAGGATAGTGTGTCTAGTTCAACAATCACAGAGTCTGTACTGACCGGTCAAGGCGCTAACATTATAAGTAACTTGGCAATCAACTTAGCATCGTCCGTTAGAAGAATGTCCGAGAGCCGATAGCCAGGGTTACTGAGGCGGAGTAAGAAGAGCTCTCAGCGTGTGGGTCTAGAGTCTAGAGCCATAAGCAGTCGGGTGCCTTGAGTTCTCATCACCGAAAAGATGCATATAAGCTGAGGGCTATAAACGCAACGGCCGCCGAAAGTAGATTGCGGATAAGGTTTCACGTGGAAGATTCATACTTGCAGTTAGGCTAGGTGCGCGGGTCTCCAGCGCCTTTGAAGAAGTCTGCGCGGCCCACGGGCATGGATCCCAATCGAAACTAGGGTCACTTGAACCAGGCGTGCACAGGAAAAAGCGGAAACCGATTTTGCAAGCTTCTGTACGGCCTGGCTACGATGCGTGCATCACATAACTTGATAGACTCAATCGCCGAGTTATGTGTTCTGTGCTTGTGATGGCCGATTGTTGCTTTATCCTTTCGCCCGTGTCTCATTCGCCTACAGTTTGTTACATACTTAGAGATACGCCACAGCGCTAAGGACGGTACAGTCGCTAGCGATTGCGGCTTCACGGGAGCGTGCGCCGTTGTTGCCCCGTCCCCCGCAATACGCGCGAAATAAGCAGTAACAAGGATGAACAAGCATTCGCATCCCCGTTGCACGCCTGAGCACGTTATTATGGCACCACCGTCACAAAAACTTCGGGTCGATATCGCTTTAACGCACTCATCCTGCCCACAGCCACTCGACGCTCGCATCGGCGTACACGGTGGTGTGATTGGATTTATACACGTCTTGGATGATACACACATTTTCTGATCATGTCTGCCTCAGAAGCCACAGTGCGGGCCGCCCCGTATAGTTCGGCGAGGAGGCAAATGCCCCACCATCTGATAATTCTTTCGCTAAAGGCTTGGGACCCTCCTGAAGATCAAGCTATGACTACTACAATCTGGCTATATGGCACGTAGCCAAGTCCGAACGCGGACCTGGGGCTCTGCGAGTTCGTTCCATCGGAATGGAAAGGGCCATTGGTCTGTGGAATGCTCAACTGTGTAGGCCCGTCCAGACTGGACGTGGGGTTCGCGCGGCGTTGATGTGTCGCCGCCGGCTTTCTTATGGATCGCCGTAAGCTAATAGAAAGCCCCACTCCAGGGTCTTTGCAGAGCTAAGTTCCGGTCAGTCGGGTCGCGTCCGTCGTATGTCGTGAAGCGGCCTGGAAGCAGCTCACCATCCAACATCTGCCAGTCACTACTAGAGGCAGGTGTGGAGACCTGAAAGTTGCTGAGCGGTGCCACCGCTGGCGAAGTCGCATTATTACCCAGGCCTATCAAGTCAAATACGGGGAATTGGACTCCGAAGCCGGCCGCGTCGCCAAACACTTTGCCAGGTTAGCCTCAAGATACGGGCGGCGCCATGTGCATCACTCACTCTGGGGGTAGAAGCTGACGCTAGTTCCGGGAGATGTGGGGAGCTGATCAAACGACATGTCCGTCTCACTGTTGGTGTTCGTGTCCATGGAGTTTTGAGACCCGAGAATGACGCTCAACGCGCTCACGGCCTTTTGCGCCTCCTTGGACGAGCTGCTTGAGTTGAGCCATATGCCGTATGAGCGTTGTAAGGATGCTCGTATTGTGTCAGCGCTGGTGCCTCCTTCGGCGCCTGCCGTCGCCGTCTCCCCACGGACCTGCTGCAAGTACGCGCACAGGACGCTAGTGGCCAAAAGGAAGTCGTGATTGATAAGGGAGGTAACACGCCACCGCTCTTGGTACAGCTGACAAAACGGCCGCGTTTCTTCTTGCAGCATATGCTGATATTCAAGAAGCTTCAGCGCTGCGTCCAGGCATGCTTGTTGGGAATAACCGTAGGGGGTCTTGGTCGGCGAACAATTGAGATACCGCCGGTGGAGTACAATCCTCGCTCTTTGGTACATGATTTCCAGATAAACCTTTTGCATGATGATCTGTGGTGAGTCGAGAATACATTGCGCCATCGATCGCCATTTGAGACACTCGGGGATGGAGACATAGGTCCCTCGCAGCTTCGTGTCCATGTCCATGACATCCGCGTATGTGTAAGACCTTGTGTTGGCTGCAAAGTCCCAGATGAAGCCGATCGTCGACATCATTCGGCCCTTCACCAGCCGATATAGCATAGGAGTGAGATCGTTCTCTGGCCGAGCTGCAGGCATCTCCTTGGTTGTCTTACTGAAGTCACTGTCTTGAAGATTTGCAGGTTCCACCGTGTCCGTCTGCCATTGCTTGATCAGTCTAGGAAGACCCATCTGAGCGGAAATGCCGATATCAAGCTCGACGATTGTTGCCCAGACCCTCTTTCGCATCTCTCCCACAAAAGGCGACATCTCTCGAAAATGCTTTGGGTCCCTATGATATCCCATGTACATCGCGAGCTGAACTGCGGTGCCTAAGAGGATCCAAACCCCAATCTCGGCGTCATTTCGAGAGAAGAGCTCAGCTGCAATGTATAGGAGGAGCGTTTCGAGCACGTGCGGGCCACCTTTGGCATATTCCCCCAGAATCAGACATTGCACAATTTTCTCCTTGAATGTCTCCACCATGTTCTCGAGATCGTGCTCTGTCGAGGGAGTCGCTGGAGTCTGGCTGTTAGGGTCAAGCCTCGATATCTGAAGTTGCGCCGCCAGACACATGATGGTGAACAGTAAACCAAGCCATATGACTGGGGTTGCGGATTGATCCTTCCAGAAGTTTTCGTACTTGGCAGTGTTAGCAACCGAGTTACAGCTAGGCAAACCGTTGGCCTACCTCTTCCAAAAATTGAGCGCTGTGCAACACGGCTGCGTCCCGCTATCAGTTTCACAATAAGTTTCACTTTTGAACAAAACTGACCCGTAGACATCTCAAAGGAGCTAAAATAGCGTGACACCAGCCGATCTACAGCTTGCCGTGGAGGGATAGACTCGATGATTTCTTGCTTGGTCGGAAATTCGCTACAGCCATAGAGCAGCTGTGGGCCTGTTCGCTCAGGAATTAGAATATCGTGAGAATCGGTGCTGGCAGGACTGTTCCCTTCACTCTCGAAATGGTCCTTGAGTTCTGCGATTCCATTCAAAACTGCCGCCCAATGAGAACTGTTGACATAATTGGTACCAGAACTAGTCAGTTGCAGACTGCCCGCTTCAGATCCAGGTGAGGTGCTGTTGTCAGTCTCCGGAACTCTGTCCGTGCCAGACTGATTTGTCGTGAGCAACGGACTCGGCAAATGCGACGTTGGGAGGGCCTGGCCAGGCTGGGCCGTGTTGCTTGCCAATGTTCCTTGCATCAAGTCCACCACTAAGTTCTCGAGCTGCTGGATTCGATCTTGTACCGTACGCACAGGTTGGTCAGCACCAACTGGGCGCGCCGCTGATTGAGCGACGTATGAACATGAGAGGCTCAACCCACGCTGCACACACGATGCGCAGGGATGCTGTCTGTCGCATCGCAGTCTGATAAGATCAGTGTTAGCTCTTTCGCCCTTCTATCAGGCGAGTGAGTATAGGTTGTGGTGAGCTTACTTTCTCTGCCTGCACAGGTTGCAGGAGAACTGAGGTCGCTCGCGACGCCTGCTGGATGGTAAGCGGGCCCTGCCTCTGGCCGTTTTGCCCGGCCCCCACTCTGGGAGTTGAGATCCGTTTGATTCTGACATTGTCGGCGAGGTAGAGGCAAGCTTCCTGCTAAGACTCATGCGTGTCAGAATCAGCCTGGCGACGCGGCTTGCACCGCCAACCGAACAACCCCTGTAAGCCCCGAACGCCCGCCCCGCGATCGTGCTCCGCCCCGCCTACGTCCGCTCCGGTGCTCCATGGACTTACTGCATTTGGCCGCTCAGTCTCACCACCATCTGCTCGGAGAATCAGAACATTCACGTCCGTTTCTGGCTTAGCGTTGTTCTGTAACCGGAGCAAATGACAGGTCCGCGGACTTCCTCTTACGGCCAAGAAGGCGAGGAAGCCTTCAAGAGAGCCGTACTGCTTTCAATATTCGTGCTGCAACCTGCATAGCAACAACAGCCAGGCACTCAGATCGATCGATATTCGACGTGCAATGGCTCATTCAACCGCTGGCGACCGGGATCCAGAAGTGGGTAGTGAGCAGCACTCCTCGATTGCTCAACTACACACGGAGTCTATGAGCGATCCTTGGGGTGACCCCAACAGCCCTGAAAATCCCCTGAACTGGCCAGCGCCGAAGAAGAATTTCCATGTGGCCATTGTCAGCATCTTTACTCTCACAGCGTAAGTACTGACCTATTGTGATCTTGAGACCAGCGCATGAGTGCTAACTTGTGAACTTCAGCAACTTGGCGGCTACTATGTTCGCCCCTGGAGCACCCCAGCTTGCCAAGGAATTCAACATCACCAACTCCACTGTCGAGGCCATGACTGTCAGTCTCTACGTGCTGGGCTTTGCATTCGGCCCTCTTCTCCTCGCGCCTCTGTCCGAGCTGTACGGCCGACTCATCATTTACAACGCTTGCAATGCCGTCTACATCGCCTTCACTGTGGGATGCGCCTTCAGTACCAACGTGTCCATGTTTCTCGTCTTCCGGTTCCTTTGCGGCTGCGCTGCCTCGGGGCCAATGTCCATTGGCGGCGGTACGGTCGCAGACATTACTCCTCAGGAGAAGAGAGGCAAGGCAATGGCCCTGTTCGCGATGGGCCCACTCTTGGGACCTGTACGTTTGGTTTCCAATCGAGACGACCCTTTGTGTTTAAATGCTGACCACATAGGTGCTTGGCCCGATCATCGGAGGCTACGTGTCGCAGTACACTAATTGGCGCTGGACGTTCCGAATTATCTTGATCATGGTAGGTCATCCTGGTCGGATAAGAAACGCTCAACTGCTAATCAGTATCACGTTCAGTCTGGTATCATCGGTTTGGCCACCATGTTCTTCATGCGCGAAACCAATGCTGCTGTTCTGTTACGCAGAAAAGCCAAGCGGTCGCCGAAGGACGCCGAGGGTATGGAGCTCGAGCTGGATAAAGCCAAGAAAGAGACGCCTAGCCAGGTCCTCGTCCGTGCTATTACACGGCCGTTGAAGATGCTCCTCTTCTCGCCCATTGTCCTGCTCATATCTCTCTACACTGGTGTGCTATTCGGTCTCATCTTCCTTCTCTTCACCACCTTCCCTGCTGTCTTCCAGGGAGTCTACGGCTTCGATGAAGGGACATCAGGGCTGGCATACCTCGGTCTCGGGATCGGCATGTTTCTCGGCCTGGTGGTCTTCTCAATTCTCAGCGACAAACTCCTCGGGCAGAAGCAGGGTGGCACTGTTAGCAAGCCAGAGCAGCGTCTCATCTTAATGAAGTGGTTTGGGCCCATCACACCGCTGGGCTGCTTCATGTACGGCTGGAGCGCCTACCACCACGTCCACTGGATCGTTCCTATCTTGGGTACATCCATCATCGGCTTTGGATCTCTGTTCGTTGTCATACCCGGCCAGATATACCTCGTGGACTCCTTTGGTGCAGAAGCCGCAGCTTCGGCTCTCGCTGCTAATCTTCTTGTGCGCTCCCCATTCGGCGCGTTTCTGGGCCTTGTTGCAGCGCCGTTGTATGACAAACTGGGCCTCGGCTGGGGTAACAGTGTCTTGGGTTTCATTACTCTTGCGTTCACGCCTGTGCCATGGCTGTTCTACCGATATGGAGAAACCTTAAGGACGCGGTTTGTGGTCAAGTTGTAGTAATGAAGGCCATGGGTGCCGTTTCTGGAGCGCGACAGCGGCTAAACCTCCTGTATTTTAATGTCGGGCTCGCTTAGTAGGGATAGTCTCTCACTCTCTTTCTTGTTTAGATTCGTAAAAATTGCATACGGATGCATCAGGTCTAGAGGCAACAGAGTGCATAAGTTTCCAATAGTCCGTTCGTCGAACGAAGACCAGGTCAGAGCGCGGCGTAAGCCGTACTCTGACCGCTGCGCCCGAACGCCGATCTCCGACGTCACGTGAAGAACTTCAAACCAAGCAGAGCGTCTTGAACTCACGAAGGGTTTACAGCAGGATTTTATAATAGGCTAGAGCCTAATCCTGCCGAAGACATGATTAAAGAGGCCGATAGCATGTTAGAAAGGCTGGTGGCTGCAGTGTAACGAAATCGGGAAAGAAGGACGTTGTATAAGATACATCCAAGCAGAAGTATTAACTTTCATACACATCATGATTAAATAAGCGAGGAAGTGGATTGAATCGTGTCTTCTATATGTATCATATGGATGAAAGAAGTTACAGCAAACGGTGCATGGACAACAAGTGAGCACTACAAACTTCATCTTCCTCAACAAAACCTGCATGATCAATCATAACCAGCCATTTGCCCTTGTTGTATGACTGCATCAGCCAACGAACATTTGGCTTGCTATGTCCAGATTTAGCGACTTTGATTCACCACCGATTCAACAATACCTGCAAGAGGCCCTGAGTTATGAGAACAATCAGGACCACCGACCACCATGGCTGACTTGATAGCGACAGATACTTCCCGGTTCGTTTCACTGTGGGCACTCGCACAGCGCTCATCTCTCGCAGTTGATACTGCTGTTCGAGCAGTCTGATTTCCTCGTCCTGGTCATCTTTCTTGAGCGCAGATCGAAGAAGATAGGCACAATTACATGTACATGCGTCCTGGGCCCCGTAGATGTCTTTGTATCTTTCCAGTCTGTTTTTGAGTAGCTTGATGGCATCTTCTCGGTGCTTCTTGTCATTTCTTTTGATCCATATATTCGCTTGCTTGCACTCGATGTCCCAAATTCGTTTGGCTGCATGCTCCGCATCTCCGTGGTCTGGAACCTGTTTGAGCCTTTTCAGATGGCGTTTGAGTATTTTCTCTGCCTTTTCCAGTTCCTCTGGCTTGTCGATTTCAACGCAGGCTTCCGCAACCATCTCTTCAATCTCCATAACCCATTCCTCGTCATGGTCCAACTGCCACGATATGGTTCCTTGGCTCGCATCCTCCCAGCATTTGATAGCCTTTTCGGTTTCCTTTGCTGCCGCGTCACGAAGCCCTTGGTGAAGTCGAAGCCTGCCATTCATAAAATGAACTCTACCTTCTTCAATTTTGCGCTGCACAGCAAGTTTCCGCTTCTTGGTCTTGTCGAGTTGCAATTCCAGGTAGATGTCAAGCTTGACCTCGTTATGCTCCACGCTCATCTCGAATTCCCAGACACCTCTCAATTCCCTCAAGGCTTTTTCTGGTTGACGCGACTCAGTATAGAATCGAGCAAGATCAAGCACGAGGGCCCATTTTCGCTCAATATTGTTGCTCCTGTTCGCATCATCGATCAGCTCCGCTGAGAGCTTAGTAATTCTGCTCCATTTGTCGTTATACTCGTCCCTCAGTGGCTTTTCAAGATATGCTCGAATGAGGAGACGCTTAAGCTCGTATCGCCTCTCATATCCAGTATATATGTCGTCCACGAACTCGAGTACACAGATGGCATCATCATAGCGGTGCTCTTCCAAGTAAAGCTTCGAAAAGGTGACGATAGCAGTGACCATCACGTCCATGCCCTGAATGTTATAGGATGCGAACTCCTGTGCTCTGGCCTTGTTTTTGTTCTTGCGTGCAAATTCGAGAAATCGGTCAAAATGCGGCTTGTACGGTAATTTCCACTGTGTCGAAGGTATCCTTGACTTGCCTTTTACCTGTTTGTACCTCTCCTGTGTTTCATCGTCATAGCGCTTGTACAGCATGCAGAGCGCCGTCGCGAAGAGCTGTAAGAGGCGTTCATCTCCCAAGTGAACCTGAAACCACTGCAACACTGCAACTTGAACGTACTGTTGCATAGTGTAGACTCTATTTTCCTTGGTTGAGATCAAAGAGCATTGTTCCAGACCACTTAGCTGAGATTGTAGCCTATCAGGCTTGGTATGAACTTGTCGGAGAAGCGCAAAGTCGATGCTTGAGGCATCCAAGCAAGACATTTCGCCCAATAGGTCTAATTTTCGGGTGACCTTGCTCTCGCCGGAGCTCGGGAACAGAGGACTGAGTAAGCGTTCTGAGAAGTCACTGTATCGCTTTTCAATGGTATGATTGGCTCCACTACACTCATCTTCTTGCAGGTTCTGTGTTGTATAGTCTGTATGATTCATATAGTCTGCCATAGAGATGATGAGTGCAGGCAGTGGAAGCCGTTCGACAACGAAATTCCTGGACTCCGTATTCGTAATTAGATCTCTGTTGATATGAGAGTCAAAGATGTAGCTAGCCGTCAGGGGTGGCAGGTCTTCCATGTGAATGAAAGCATCTTTGTTGTTGACGTGAAGAAACTTGGTTAAGACGATCTTGTTCTTCGTGGTGATGAGAACCTCTCCATTGGCTGTCGGTAGCACTTCGTTGAGTTCTTGAGCAATTGTTTCGTTCTCAAGACCATCGAGCACCATGATCCAAGGGCCAGTTTCTTCATTCCTTAGCCAATCGGAGACCAAAGAAAGGATTGAAGGATTATCGAGTTCTGACGGCATCGTGTCCTGTAATGATTTATATATGCTGGTCCAGCATCTGCAGTCAACCCAGAGAGTGTGCTTTTGGTCCTTGGAATCCTTTGGCTTTTGGAAGCCAAAAGCATAGTAATAAGCTGAGTGAGACTTGCTGCTTATGTTTTAGTCGAGAGGATATCAAGGGATGCATATAGACTCACCCTACTCCTGATTTCCCGTGAAGGCCAATGACTGTGTTGTGTCCTTGGAACCCACTGATAATCCTTTCGTGAATGTTATGACGCCCAAAGAAATGCGCGGATCTAAAATCTCGGGTTGTTGCAACTTTCTCCAGATTCGTACGAGGTCTTTGTTTGCCATGGTCAAGATCGAACGCCCTGGAAGTAGATCTTCTAGACAAGGCGCGCGCACTATAATACCAATCGCGCCCTTGAAGGATCTCAGTATACCACTGACCTTTGTTGCGTTGGATCGCTCGACTCATTGGATTGTGTTGTTCTTTAGTCTGGTCGAGGGGTGTTGCAGATTGCTGAACGATATTTCGAAGTCGCTTAGCCCGATCTTCCACAGAGGACTCCGGGTTGAAGATCTCGTATAGATCCATCTCGACTTCCCAAGCAAATATTCTTTTATAGCGAGACAACAGCATATCCGAAATTACATCCAGTGCTTGTATGATATCAGACAATTTTTTGGAATCTTCAGCCGACTCGGTTTTGTTCCTGAGATGTTTTATCCAACTTTCCACAGCCTTCGGGCTGTTGTGAAAAGATGCATCTGGTTTTTGTTTGAGCCTTCCCAGGTAAACGTTTTCGGAGGCGTCTCGCCTCTGTTGCTTGAATGCAGGCAGACCTTCTGGCTTCCAGCCATATATGAAGACCGTCGCTAGTTCAAGCATTACGCATCCAAGAGAGTAAACATCAAAGGCCCGTCCATGTTGTGCGATACCTTCATCTTTGAAGAATTCTGGCGCACGGTACGTATATGTCCCGAATTCGTTTTCGGGTGTGAAAGCAGTTCCAGTACCTTCCTTTGGATCTTTGAGATTGGCCGTTCCAAAGTCGCAAATCTTCCACGTAGGCTCCGGTTCTAGAAACAGAATGACGTTGCTCGGCTTGATGTCATGGTGAAACCCGATCATGCCGTTGATTTCTCTATGAATATACGCCAGAGCCGAGACAAGTCCCAGCATCGTCTTTCGTATGTGGCAGTGTCGAAACGACTCATCCTCCAAGCTTACCGATCCTCGTTTTGGAAGATCTGGACTCTCCTCAAACCAAGTCTTCATACTTCCTGCCTGGGCGTAAGGCATCAACAACCACAAATATTCTTGCCTGGCATTCGGTTCACGATTGGCTCGACCTGCAGTGAAACTGGCCAGAAGTGGGACAATGTGGTCGTGCTTGCGCCCCCTTAGAGTTGCTGCCTCTCTCAAAACCTTGTTCCATGTCGTATTGTCGTGTTTCTTGATGCTCTTACAAGCCACAACGTTGTGTTGCTGCAAGATCTCATGAGCTCAAACATTCTTGCTTTCTTAATCAAGTGGAATGTATTTTGGCTTACCTGAACATTTAAGCTTGACGGTAGATGACGGTCTGCAATCTTGGCTCGATAAACAACACCCCAAGAGCCGTCACTTTCGTGTATTGGCGCTCCATCCACGAAAGGAAACCTGAAAAAGGCACAAGGAAAACTTTCGTGTGTTCCGGAATTAAATTGGGGCGGAACAAGCCATTGCGTCTTGTATATCTCCGCCGCGATGTCGCGAAGAAGCGGCTCTTCGCTCAAGCGCACTTCCGAGCAATACGACAGCTTCGAACCCGGACTTGTCTGGAAGATGGAGTCATCGATTATTGGATCCTTTTTCAAAAGCTTGATGATTCGCTCTGACTGGTTGATCATCAGGAGGATCCCATACAGTTTTGGAGCTCGCGTCCGTACTGCTGACTCCAGCGCATCCATGTCAGCAGGGTTGAAGTAATCTTCTGATTTGAGCGTTTTCACATCATCTTCAAGGCTTTCTCGCAGCTTGCTTCGGTACCCTGGTTTGAAGACCTCATTCAAAAACCCTATGGAAACGAATCCAAGGTCCAAATCCGCAAATCCTGGGCCAAGTGCATCTCTTGTCTTCTTACACTCTTCTTTAAATTCGCGACGGAAGTAGTCGTTATGAGACATGGTGTATGAGAAGAAGAATATAAAGGTTAGACGAGGCTGGGATTAGAGTTGGTCACTCTAGAAATTATGGTGGATGTCGCAACCCTTCAAACGATGTAGGACAGGTAATTCTGGGAGATTTCAGACGACCACTCTCTCAAAAATACGTTGAGTGACAATGGCTGAGGCAGTTTTAATGCAGACCAGGAGCAGGCTGAAAGTTGGAGACTTGGGAAGTGTGCTTAGGGGCTGTCGCTCAGCCACAAGATGCGCCCTGCAAGCCATATCAAGTGCAGGTGATGAGCGGGAGCCGAAGGCTGATTTCACCTGAGTCTGCGTGTGTGGCTTGACTAGGCAACTACCATGAATTCGACATGTAGACATAGTCCTTCTTGATCGGTTTTCCGGTGAAGGTACCGCATCGTGTGCCCCAACGTCCTCGCTGCGCTCTTGCGCAGCCGAGCAACACAACGCCCTGATTGTGAAAGAGTAGCTTCAAAAGCGACGTTACTCTTATGCGCTCATAATGATTCACATAAGAAGTAGACGGGTTGCCAACAACATTGAAAGTGCCTGCAGCGCCTACAGGCAGAATCATAGTAAGAGGAGGGGGATAGGGAGGAGGGCACGAAGGATTTCAGCCTTCCTACCATGACCCGAGGCTTTCTTCAACCATGATTGGATGATGTATCCATGTTTAAAGTCTTTTTACGATGTGTTTGATAGTTTACGGTCATGTGCGATGGCAAGCACCTAGCTGGGCCTGATAGAGTAGGCAGGCAGGATCTGGGCGTCGCGAGAGAGCCGAACGCATCATTGCCCCGCAACGCGCTGCACGTTAACTGTTACTCTCAGTGCCAATCTATTGACTGATTTCCTGGATCTTCATGTATTTTTGTCTTGGTATTCAAAGTCCATTGCCGACTATAGGAATTCAGTTCAGCCAACAGTGGAATTCGTAGTGCTCATTCGCTACACACACCATATGCTGTAACAACTCGAGCCCACAGACTGAAGGTGCGAGGGACGTCGCAGCCCAAGTGATAGTTCGCTATCCTTAATAACACAAAGAGGTATCTCGATATCCAATGTATGCCCTGAACGCCTAGTACGTTAAATGATGAGAAAGACGCCGGACGAAGCGGCAAATAGAACCTTAGAAGACCAACTCCTGCGATGTGAACATCTCTAATGCAACTATGATCCTAAAATACAGTACTACGTCAAAAGTTTTGCACCGCCGCTAATTTCCTTACTAAACCTTACTAAAATCTTATCTTTTTAGAAGTAATATAACTTATTATCTATAACGTAAACCATCACCGAGCCGGCCATATCACCGAGCCGGCCACTTTTCCTTGGCACGACTAACTCAACCTACGCATCTTCAATTTTATCGCTATTAAATAGGGAGCCTATGTACGTTAAGCTAGCATCTAATTTAGAAGATACGTCTATATCTTTTTTGCACGTTCGCGCATTATGCCTAGTCCCGGCGCAGTTCCTACAGCGCCGTAGAGCTAGTTAGGCTATTTCTTGACTACTACTATCACGAGCCTTCTTAGATCGCTAAGGTGCTGCAGATGCCTTAGCAGCTACCTTCGCTGCAGCAGTCCTATACTCTATAGTGCCGCCTTGCTAAATCTGCTTACGCTTACGCGATTTTCGCTTAGTTATCTCTGCTAATTGCTCTTTAAGCTTATAAATCTAAGCACGTTAAAGCGCATTTTTATAGAGCATTAGCTTACTACCTTTTATAAGCTAGGAGAAGCTAGCCTAGGCTGTAGTAGGCGAGCGAGTAAAGGAATCGCGTACAAGCTTTGACTAAGATCTAAACTCGTGAGTATTACTTAGAGTCTTTGACTGCTATAGCGTTTCTAGGAGGAGAGATGCTAGCGGGGTACGCAGCCGCACTCTAAGGCGATCTAACACAACTTGCGCGTTAATAGGGACTAGCCCTGCTGCCTTAAAGGCCTTTCGACAGTTCTGCTCTGTAAACACGTTAAAAAACGCGTCTTTAAAGGCGGGGAGGAAGCCTTCCTTATTAATATAGAAGACGCGTCAGCGTGCTAAGTCTCTAACGCGCTAGGAGTACTTGCGCTTTAGCGGCGAGAAGCAGACTATGTTAAGCGGCTAGAGGATATAAGAGGAGTAGGCAGGCATGCAGAGCGTTAAGATCTTGTTATCTAGGCAGTAGTCCTTAAAATCCTAGTTAAGGTAGCTCTCGTAGCCGTCTAAAATAAGCAGCTAGTACACCCCTACCTAGCGCGTTTTTGTATGCGCGTTAAAGTGCTTTAACTACTCTAGACTAAGCGCGTTATTAGTTTAGCTATTCTTAGAGACTAAGAGCTTCTAATTGCGCAGTATTAAAGCCTCCTCGTACTAGGCAGAGATATAGACGCGTCCCTTGTATATAATAAAAGGCGGAGTCGCGTACCTAGCAGCGCAGATGCTCTAGATAACTGTAACCTACTCGCGATCGCCTAGCTAAACAAGCTCTAGCTGAGCACGTCTCTCAGCGCCTGTAACAACCTTTATTAAGCTAATAACGCCTATCTAGAAGCTAGTCTCGTTAAAGTTGTGCACGTCGTTGTTATAGACGCTGTACTTAGCTTTAGTCTCCTCTACTAGCTTAAACTACGCGCTAATAAGCGCAAGATCCTCCTGCAGTATCCTCTGCCTATCCTTAGCTTAATTAAAGGCTATTTTAAGCTTAGCTAAACGTGTTACAAAGCAATTAGCCTAGCACTTGCTAACAGGCTCGCTACTGCGTACAGCTAGTAGTTTATCAGCTATATCTTCTACCTCGCACAGTTAGGGCGCGAATCCTCGCGAATTAAGGTTAAGGATATATTAGACAATCGTCTGCTGTTTAGTCGCTGTAAGCTTCTAGCAATTTAGTTAGGTTTAGGCGCGTAGAGTAATTCTGTAGAGTTAATTAGAGAGCCTCTAGTATTTAACGTTAAAAGCTGCTGCAGCGCGTCGTAGGGTCTTAAACTAGCTAATTGTAACGAGGGCTTGAGACACACGTCCCTCGAAGGAGCTAAGTACGCGCTAAACCTGCTTATAAGGCGCGCCTCGCTCTACAGAGCGAGGCAAGGATTATTCTCTTTACAACCTACACCTGTAGTCCGAATATATGAGCTATCTCCCACTATCCTTAGTAACGTGAAGCAAGCACTATTGCCTACAGTTACGCCTCACATAATAATCCTTCTTTTCGGCTGATAGTCAGGAGATGGCTCCTTCCACGCGATCAGGGCAACATGCCCGCTCTCAGAGCAGAGATTCGGACCAGGTCCTTTTATCACGCACCCCAAGCGCCGAGCCCATACCTCGCGAACGAAGCGCAACCCCGTCGATTGAGGAGCGCATCCAAGCGGCACAGATACGACGGGATGAACTCCTAAATCTACAACAACAAAATCAGTTGCGCCAACTAGAGGAGGAAATCCTCCAGCTCGAAGAATTAGACCAGAGCAGGAATGTGGGCGTGTCGGACAATCCGTCGGGTCCCCACCCTCAAGAGAGGCGCACGATCAACGTCACTGCAGCACCCAGCGCGGCGCATACAAGGCGCACGCTAAAACCAAAAGATCCAACAGGGTACCGGGGTAAGAATATTCGGGAATATCGGGAGTTCATTCGCTCTTGTGAAATGGCTTTTCGCTTGCTACCTGAGGAGCTAAAGGAGGACAAGAACAGGGTAATATGGTCAATGCAATACCTTGAAGGCGATCCAAAAGAGCTTTGGTACGCGCACTTCGAACGTAGCTTCGAAGCATGCGAACGAACCCCTACTTGGGAATACTACAAGCAGTACCTGCTAGACCTGCTCGCAGATCCTGTGAACCGCAGCCTTGAAGCAGCTACGGCGCACAGCCAAGCTCTCCAGCGAAAAGACCAGACCGTCAGATCTTTCGCTACGTACCTGGAAGTCTTAGAGGACCAGTTAACCCCTTACACTGAGGTACAAAGGGTTCAACACTTGTTCACAAAACTAAGACCTGAACTCCAGCGATCAATTACCAATTACCACCAAATCCCAGCGACCCGTGAAGACCTAATAGCGTTAGCTTCTACGCTTGAAAGGAATTTGCGAAAAACACCCGCTACGCATGAATATCGCCCCCAAGTCGCATCCCGGGAGAAACGAAAGCGAAGCCCTCCTACTTCCCAAATAAGCCAACAGAGTAGACTAAAAGACAAGCATACAATTACCTGCTACAAATGCCAAAAGAAGGGTCACTACGCAAATGAGTGCCGAAGTAGCAATCCAAACCAGCTACCTGTTAGTGTCAACCGCACGGAAAAAGGTCAAGCCTCCCTGAAATTCCGGGATCAGTGAGGCGCATACCCGTAGATATCTTGCCGGGCATGAAGCGCATGTGTTACGCAAGCGTAGACACAGCTTCAGAACACAAGTTAGGGGTAATCCTAGATCCACAAGCTGATGTCAGTTTAATCAGCCAAAGGAGCGCTGTAGAGATGGGTCTTACTCCCCTCAAGGAAGCCGAACTCCCCAGGCTAGGGTGGATTGGCCCACAACGACAGGACACATATGCCGCTTATGCGCTGAACCTGCGCCTCACCGACGATAACGGCGTGGAGCGCCGGATCAACGCTACCGTGTACGGAGTGGACAAAGAAGGTTGCCCCTTGTTATTAGGCAACCCATTCCTAAAACAGGAAGACATTACGATAGACTGTGGACGCCAAACCTGGCGTTGGGGATACACTAAAGCACAAATACACTTAGTATCAACAAAAGAACTCCTCAAAGAAGCCGAGCACATCAACTCGGACAGTTATCTATTAGGAACGCTTCTATCGAGTGGCGCAGAGTTGGAACTAGAGGCGCGCGTGTACCATGTAAACGCAGCGCAGGAGGTTCGCATCCCGCATGAACTATCAGAATATGCGGATGTCTTCGACAACCGCAACGCAGAGATCTTGCCGCAATACAAAAGTTCAGACCATGCAATCCCTATTGTAGAAGGCAAAGAGCCGCCTTACGGTCC